TGCTTCGCCTCTGGACGCAATCGGTCTCTATACCGTCCGTTTTCTTTTGAGCTGCTTTTAAGCATGTTTCTTGTCGTCGTCGTTCCAACACAGTGTTTGTTTTGATTCATAGACCCCGAAAATGGAGCTGCGCTCCCACAATGCATTGCGGCGTGACGTCAACTCCAAAGCCCTATTAGCCACCTATTCTGCAGCGCTGACAAAGTGGGAACAGAGTGAAACTACAAGTAAAGCTGAAAAAATGTCCAGGGACCTTAAAAATACACAAGACAAGACAGTAAAAATGCAAAAATGTGTGTGTTCAAGTAAGCAATGTGGCAAAATATGACCTATAACCTTTCCAAATCAAAACTACACAAGCAACAGTTTGACTCTAATGTAAGCACAGCGGCATAAAACAGGTGTGAACGGGTGTGCCTAATAAAATGAACAAGTTTATCATATAACAAGCAGGTTTAAGGCATAAATAAATTATAAATATAAAGTAAATAGAGAGTACTTTGTTTGCAAAGGAAGACTTCAGAACAAAACCATGATAGCTTCTTGTGGCTTAAGTATAATGGGCGTTATTACACTCAAAAAGCAACACAAATACAGACAATGTTATTAAATGATATCAACTGCAAGGCATCAGCTCCAAATCCCAACCAGTCTGTGAGCGTATACAGGCTTCAGGCGTACATGTCTGGGTGTGCTTGTATGCAAGAACAAAGGGAGAGAGAAATGAGCAGCCACAGACCGTCAGAAGTGGGAATGAAACAGTGCAGGTGTAAGTGGACGGGGTTTTAGAGCTAAGTGGAAAAGTTTGGATTCCTGTGAGACTGTTTTTTTATCTCCTTTCAACAAGAGTCAAAATACCAAAGCAGCGATCCATGACTTGTTAGTAAAAGGAAAGATAGACAAGCATACCAAATCTGATGTGAAACCACTTCACAGCGAGAAGAAAAGAAAACACTCAAAAGTTTGATTTAGACGCTAATCAAAATTGCATTGAAGATACAATATTGAAAATCTAATAGCACAAAGTACTAATGCTCTTTTTCTCTATATGCCATGTCTTTGTTAGTTTTCACTTGATCAGGCTTTGAAAATACTATACTAAGCACTGATAAAAGTAATTAAAAGTACAGGTGTGGCAGTTTGGCAGTTTTGTAAGTAACAAAATAATTAGAAATACCCCAAATTAAAAGCTAATGTTCAACTCTATTTTTAATATATAGCGTCCTGTTTGTTTAAAAGAAAATCAGCCACACAGTGTTTTCCATCATCTTGCAGACCACAACTGTTCAAATCGGCTAGCGACTGGTGCCATATTGAACAGCAGCATTGACGTCTGTCTGCTGCAATAAAAATGCAAAACTTGTTTTCCCTTCTTTTCTTTCTTTTTTTTCTTTTTGGCCTGTCCCGTTTGGCTCTTTTGCCATCAGAATTGTTGTCTAAAGGCAAAGAAAGATGCCCAACGGATTTACTTTACCAAATTGACCATCCCAGCCTTGCCATAATGGTCCATTTGATTCACCTTTTATTGTTTATTTTATTTTCACTTACTGAATATGGGACAGACTTGACTGGGGGAAAGAAGGGGAGAAAGAAAGAGGGAAAGAGAAACAGCTGAGAAGAGGGACGGGGGAGAAGGGCAAAAACCAAAAACCAACAGAATGAGCAGAAAAAGAAAAAAAAAGAAGAAAAAAAGAAAAAAAAAAGCATATATCAATCACCTGGGTCACCTGCTGAGAAAGAAAAAAGAAAACAAGCAGAAGAGAACAAGAGTAATAGAATAAACAACATCACAATGATATATGGGAATATGACAGTAAATACTAAATGTTAAACATTATTGTGCAGCACATAAGATCAACAGAACAGTGTGCTTTGAGGTAGGAGCCAAAAAAAAGGGTGCAGTTTGTGGGTGTGATCACCCATGTGTACACCTGTGAGCATGGACGCGCTTGTTTTTTGTTTTTTAAAAGGTTCCTTCATGTAATGATCTGCTAGAGGGTGTGGGGGGGCCACAGCCCCGTCCTCCAGGGCATGAAGCAGGTATGGAGGAGATCAAGACTCCAGACATCCAGAGGCCCCCAGAACACAAGAGACCAAGGAAGACGAACAGAGGGGCAGCTGCGCCACTGTCCCAGAAAGAGCTGAGGAGAGTCCCAGATGAGGGCTCACTCAGCAGCCGCGGAGCAGAAACCAGGGGGAGTTGCAGTGACGCGCCCGTGAGCTCCGCCGGCAGCCAGCCGTGCCTGAGTGACCGAGCCCCAGGCCGAGAGGCCGGGGGCACCCCACCTCCGAAGTGGCCGGAGCAAGCCCCAGGCTCCAGGCCCCGATAAGCGGCCGCCAAGGAGTGAGCCGGTGTGTACCTGGACGCCCATCCCCGGACACAAAGAACCACCAACGCACCGATGTCTGAGGGAGTCCGCCACTGGCAGGGGAAGTGGTGGTAGGGGGAGATAGGCCTCCATACCTTGGAGGGCCTGAGATGTCCCCAGAGAGGTGGCGCCTGACACCCAACCTGACATATAGACACAGACATACAGGCACACACATATACAAACATCCATTCCCACCCTCATGCTCTCATATGCACTTACTCCACACTCAACCAACGTGGAGACAGACATAAAGAGACGCTGTACACACGATCACACTCCCCAAGCGTACTCTAAGCCCCGGGTCTAGGTACCCTTGCCCCTGGAGGGGGGGAACTGCCCCCAGACCCAGGTGGTGTTACCCTTTTCCCTGCGGTGGGGGGAGGCAGACCGCCCCGACTCCGCAGCAGCAGGGAGGCCCCACACTCCAGACCGCAGTCGGACGGCCAACTCCTCCTCCTAGCCCCCCCGCTCCAGCAGGTCGCAGAGAATGGGGGTGGGAGAAGACTCCAAACCTCCCTCCACCCGCTCATTGTAGTGTTGATGCATGTGTGTTCTAAGGTGCATTTAAAACCCAGGAGGGCATGGAGCTACCTGCCAGAGAGCAGCAGGTAAGCGCATGGTCCCTCCTGCTGGCCCTCAATGTCTACGTGTATTTAACATTGAGAGGTGGGCAACGACGCCAGGGGTGGGGTGTACACCCTGATGGTACTTTGGATTCCGTGTATCGTGCCCACCCCCAAGATCCTATATGTATGTGTGAGTGTGAGTAATGTGAATGTCTAAGTTGTGGGATAAAATTGAGGCAGAGGCAGCCAGAAGGGGACGGGGGGGGGGGGGGTGGCCTCCTCTGCACCCTGGTGACATACCCCTACTCCAAGGTCCTGCATGTGTGGGTGGTTGTGGTGGAGCGGGAAGAGGGAGGCAGCTGGAGATGGGGAGGGAAGGAAGGGAGGGGTCACTTGCCAGCTCGTTTGTTTTCCAGCTTGTTTTCCCTTCTTAAAACTATCGACCCATTGTTTCACGAATTACAAAGCCTTTCTTTCAGGGAAATTGTGTTTTCGATGAAGACGGTCCAAACAGGCTTGTGTGAACACAGTTCCCCTTTGCACATTTGCAGCCGTCTCGTGGGGGTAAAGGTAACGAGACTGTCAGTCACTGGCTTGGCTTGATTAGATGTATAAGCACACCTGTCTGGTGAAAGCATACTGTACTTCTATACTGATGTGTATATATGAATACAAATGGCATATGAGCGGCGGCCCAGGGAGTCCACGAGACTGTGAGTTGACAGCCTGCCTGAATAATGCTAATCATGCTTCGCCATATTGTTTAAACCCTCACAGCATACATAAACATGTTCAGGCCGTACACCAAGAATAAAACACTGAGAATCAGCAGCAATGAAATTCATAGTAAAATAATATAGCTGCAAATCTGGAGTGAGGGTTAAAGGATATTAGAGTGATCAGATGTCACAATGGCGACAATGACTGATCACTGGGGTCAGGAAGTTTTGAATGTTTACATCATCTTTTTCTTTTCACTAGTGTGTGTATGTGTGTAAAAACAAAAAAACAAAAAAAAAAATCCCAACACTGCTGGAGTCTTTCTTAAAAGAGGCTCCCTGCCAGAGTGCGTCTCCGCCGCCATGAAACTGAGTGACAGCAGCAGACATGTGGCCATCGGGTAGCAAAACAAATCTCGACAGTTTGGGTTTGGGGAGCGCGAAGATGCTTGTCAAGTGCGTGCATGTCCGTGCGGGAGGATGCATTATACTTGCTAGATTCAACCCGATACTTTGATATTTTAACAAACAAAAAACTTCAGTTTATTCAAACTTGATTCTTCTTTGTATTTCATTTATTTATTTTTATAATTTTCAGTTAATGTCTCACCAATGAACTTTCTGAAATCTGAGAAATATGCAAGATTTCTATCAAAGACTTTCATCAGGTCATAAAGATGTAGTCGTAAATGTAGTCAACACTTTCATTTATCTTTGCACAGAAATTACTAATTAACTCAAAGTTATCTGTCAGTTTTAGTAGTGTTTACATATTACAATTTGACATTTTTGGGACATGTGCTGATTGACCTTTTGCAGAAACTCAGACTATCCCCAGGATACAAACCAAGGCAGTCCAAAGAAAAAACAGAATATGCCTCCCAGAACTTCTTATGCTCACTTATAAGAATGATGCACTTGGTTTATTATTAAGCAGACAACTGTGCAGCTCCCAGCAAAGGGACTCTCTGCTACATAAGTTCAGTTAAACTTATCTCAGGGACTGCTGGCTATAATTATATTAACAAAGAGGCCTAAGAATAGTACTGACCTTCTAATTTAACTCTACGTAAAGACACTGGTAAGTTAATTTTCCCAAAATGTCAATCAATTGCTTTAACTTGTTGAGTGTAATGTTATTACAGATGGGAATGTAGGCTTATGTTACAAAAATGAAACCCAGAAGTAGATGTATTGACTATACAGTGAGCATTTTATCCCCCAGAATCCTCCTCTTCCAACAGCAAAAGGAGGGAAAATGTCCGACCACAATGTCTCATCACAGGAAATCGCCGGCTTATTAAGGTCTTTCTTTTCCACGTCTTTTCTCCCATTGTCTCCAGGTAAGCGGGATCAATGCGTCGATGAGCAGGAAACGTGAGCAGCGCGTGCTATTCATGGTGGTGATTATGGTGATGTGCTACCTAATATGCTGGCTGCCTTATGGCATCATGGCCCTACTGGCCACCTTCGGCCCACCGGGCCTGGTCACACCGGAGGCGAGCATCATCCCCTCAGTCCTTGCCAAAACGAGCACGGTCATCAACCCAGTCATCTACGTCTTCATGAATAAACAGGTAAGAGGAGGGAGGGCTGAGGCTGGGGTCAGTACCTTTTTCTATTTCGCTGTCAAAAAGTGGCAGCTGGAGGTCTTCCTGCCCACTGAGGCGAATGATTATTTCAAGGTGGATTAAAATAATAGAAATTACTCCTTGTTTTCTATTCCTGTCAGGTGAGTCAGTGGCTTCTTGACACTGAATAAACTAAATTATGTACTTGTGTGTGCATGGTGAATAAGAAGGTCTTTGAATCTACCTTTTTTTCTAACATATTTGACGAACTCTGCCAACTCGGCTTGTTCGTCTAAATAAATAACGTCTAAATAAATAATAGACATTGTGATGAGCTAATGAAAACCGAGTGCTTACATGTCTGTTTGTCACGTCAGAGGGGGGTATTTGCAGTGTCGTGCAAGTACCCGTTTTATCAGGTGTTCGTCATTAAAATTGTAAAAGATCTCATTTAATCTTGGCCCACGCTCACGTGAGGCAATATGATGAGACCCTTTGGGTGTTAACTGGGAGCAATTATTTGGAGCTTGCTGTCTTGGTCTTATTTGCTTTTATACTTTAATTACTGTTAAGTTGCCCGTGAGAAGAATTAATAAAGCTCACCTCAGGAGCCTACAGTGTGTCATATGACCCTCATAGCTCATTTCCTTTTACTGTGTTTTCTATTTGTGCTGCGCTAAAGTTCCAATCGGCTGTAACCTCTTCTATCCCGGCTTACTTTTTGCAAAGCAAGAAGTACATAATGCATGGAGACTACCCAACAAAATAACATTTTTAAACAGTCAATACCTGAGCTGGTCTGCTTCAGTGTGATTGTTCTGGTGTGATTTTGTCAACTTTTTGATGCAATATGAAAAATTTTGTTTTGACCAAAACAATAAATAAACTGTCAGCGATCAGTGGTGTGTGAAATTATAGAAAATCACTTAGTTCTAATGGCATCACTCCAAAGAACAAAAGAAAATTGGGAAATATATTCTAACCTAAATGTGTTTGTTTTTATTTTATTTTGTTTTATTTAGGATCCGATTACTGAGAGTAGAAAAACTGGCTGAGAAGCATTCAGGACCGTTACAGTTGTGGTCACATACAATACATTTGCCAAATTTAAGTGGAAGCAGGAGAGCAAAACTCATAACTATTCATCTGTCAGGAACTGACAGGAATACAGAAACTTTGCCGGCGTCAGCGTGGGCTCTGCTCGTACTTTTTGACTGGAGGGCCAAAGACATAGGGGGAAAGGATGAAAGACAGAAGACACTGAGGACTGAGAAGAGAACCAAAGATCAGAAATGTTTGTTTTCCGTGTGTCAGTGGCCCAACATTCAGAGAATCTCTTCTGATTATAAACTAGCTGTACATATTCAATGATTAAATACTATGGCACACAAAGAAGTTTACATCCAAATAAATAATCAAAGTAAACCTTAAAGTAGTTTCACATTTGTCATGCAGCTGTTGTTGTTTTGTGTTATTTAATTAAACCCACAGACCAACAGTAAACGCTTATGTTATTGTTGAGTGATGCAGTACTACTTTTTTATCGAGCAGTGTCATCCCGGGCATGACCGAGCTCAGAGCCCAGTGCAATAGTTGAACTGGATCTTAGATTCTTCTTCCTTAAGTGAAACTTTTTGACCAGTAGGAACCAATACTGACACAGTTTACCCCGACGAATGTGACTGGTGGGGATGTTTTTGTCAGCTGATCATTTCTGGGTGCTTGGCTTGGCCTTGTTTGCTGGTGTGTTCTATTGTTTGTGCTAAAATCACACTCAAGTTTTAAATGTTTAATTCATTGGTTGTATAAATGGTTGAGGCATAGAGCTATAGAGACATTCCAAAGCATCGCGATGGCTCACTTGTTCATAGTGTTGGTTAATCTAAATAACAATTTAGTTTTACCTCATTTTAATAAATTGGACACTGACAGATTGATTTGTGTTGCTCTTGGTAGATTACATGAGTCAATACTGAAATTAGCTGATTCTGACAGAGCTGTTTTAATGTGTACATTAATGGCAGGGTTAGTTCCATAAATAGTTGGACTATTTATGAAAACTTTTTGTAGTTTTGCCTCTGCATACCAGTACAGGGGGTTTTAAATCAAATAATTAATTACTAGCTATATTTTTAAAAGACTAACATTTTTGTAGTTTTAGAGTTAAACCTGGCAGTCTTCTTACCAAAGAACATTTGGATTGTTTGACAATCCACTGTGGTGGTGTACAGAGGCAAACTTCAACAAACTACCAGCTATGGAACAATACTTTCCACAATCACTGGTGCATTTTTGCATTTGTGGTCTCTCCCTAATTTCCCCCGTTAGGTGAGCGGTCATGTCAAAGTAACATCCACACGAATAGATACGCCAGAATGCCTCGTATTTTTATTCACCTCACATTAGTTATATTTTTACTGTGCTCCCAAAGTTAACTCTAAATTTCAAGTTTACTTTATTCTCCACCTTCCTTATCAGGGTTCTCTCTCAACTCAAGCTCTCTGTGCAAACAATACATTTAAACTCAAGATTTAAGATGTTTTGTTCGTTTCTGAAACATAGTTCATCATCGTGAGCATAAATAGGAGAAGATAAGCGAGACTGTCTCACTGAAGCAGACTGATAAAACTTATTTTTCTTTCTAATCTTTATCATCTCATTCTGGTCTATTAAGTAAAGCTCAATGAAAAGCATTATGCTATGTAAGGCTTTAGCCCTCTCAGGATATCTATGTGCAGTAGATCCTGAGATGTACTATACAAAGAATTATATGCAGTGCAGTATATTGGAGAACCTTTCAAAGTGCAATACTTTTTCTCAGGCTTAAACTTTCCTTACTGGAAAATTACTGTGTTACTGCCAAGACTTATTTTACTGTGGAGTTGGAAATCTACTGAAAAAGCATACAAACTCAATATGCTGCTGTCATCTGGAGATACTGCATGCTTCTCCTTACATGTTACATCAGATGCTGAGGCCACCGCCACAGCTAACTGACCTTACAGGGACATTTTAGCCGACACGTCATCAACTTCAACTTCCCCTGGGAGGGAGCCAGTGGGAGAGAATGAAACCAAATGTCCTGTATGTCATTTTCAGTCTTCAATTCCTCCCAGCCCATTACTATGGAAACTGTGAGTTGAGGCGAGTTGAAGACTAAAAATGCTGTACAGATACAAGGATCAGCTGGTTTGTCCTGTCAACGATCAGCTCTGCTCACAGCCGAGACCCCCGGGGTGGTTTAAAAAACAGGGATTATGGGTAAGTTTAATCATCTGTTTATTTTTTAATCACTACTTGAAAATAAACTTGTGAATACTCGTGAATACACTGCTTTATATATAGACCAATCCAAAAATATCTGTATATTGTCACAATTGTCACGTTTTCAAAACTAAAACCTGAGTATGATTTTATTTGACTGACATAAAAATAAAAACTAGGCATTTTTAAAAAGTGAACTAATGACACCAGACTGTGTACTTGGAAAAATATACTAAAACAAAATAAAGATATACAGGAACTGTCACTTGTGTAGCATCTTGTACATGTTACAGCGCTTTAATGCAAAGAGAAAATACATACATTTTCAATGTTAAACATGAAAAACTGAAAAGATGGTGACTGAAACAACTAATAGATCATTGCAGTCTTTGAAGTCCTTACCTCATCTCTTAATCCAACAATAAGTTGTGTAAAGACCTAACCTTGTCATTGTAGACAGGGATTGCATGCATCCATCCATCCATTCGCTTCCGCTTATCCTTTTCAGGGTCACGGGGGGCGCTGGAGCCTATCCCAGCTGTCTGAGGGCGAGAGGCAGGGTACACCCTGGCCAGGTCGGCAGTCTGTCGCAGGGCTAATCATAGACACAAACAACCATTCGCACTCACAATCACTCACTATGGGAAATTTAGAGTTTCCAATTAGCCTAACCCCACTAACAGCATGTCTTTGGACTGTGGGAGGAAGCCAGAGTACCCAGAGAGAACCCACACAAACACAGGGAGAACATGCATGTATGTTAGGGTAAATTATATGTGTAATGGTGTTATTGCCTCAGTCCAGCCCCATAAGTACCAAGTCACACTTCTTGATGTTAATTTTAAAACAATCAAGAAAGACAACAAGGACCAACTAGGCTCAAAATTCAAAACAACTGTAGAGGTTTGTTTCCTGGTTATGAATATTTTGCTGATCTCCTGGGAAGAATTCATTCAGTGACACTCTACATCACAAAAAATTGAATTTGCAGGAAATCTAAAATGTTCCTACCTTTTCACCTCAGAGTGAGGATATGACTGATTTACAATATAAACCAAGATCAGCCTCTGCTGAATTGGTGATGTGCCAAAAATGTTTTCCCAAATATCATTCTATTCACAAGTTCTTATGTGAATGAATCATTGTTTTTCCAGCTCCAACCCTCTGATTTTTTAATACAATCTATGGTTTGCATTGTAATTCATAGCACTGGGGAGTTTCCTGGATTAAGTCAAGCAAATGTCAAATGAAGCAGAAGGTATCTGCTGATGGCTATCGAAGAAGCTTCCTGACATTCACTCACCTCATACAAGTCCCTTAAACTACGAGACTGTCTTCTGTAATGTAGAAGAATGACTGACTGCAGTTTAACTCTTCTGAAACTGTGGAGAGAGCACTGCAAATGTTATGATGTATGTCATACAGAGAATTCAGTTAAAATCTATCTATTTGGGTCTATCCATTTTCCATCTAATCCTCCAATAAGAATGTCATTCAATACAAATGCCACATATTTTTGGAATGTGCTGGACCTTTACAAACACAGACAATAAAGATCTGTCCTTTAGGAAAAAACTACTCTCATGTACAGTCACAGCAAAACTGAATAACATTAAACCCAAGACAAAGTCTGATGTTTTTAAGAGAAAGTTGAGCTCCTCTTTCCATATAATATCCGCTCAGTTCACAGGGTTCATCATCATCCACACCTGCTCTAACCAGTCTGAGATGACTCTTCATAA